GGGGTTTTGTCCACTCTATAAAATTTTGAGTGGTGGGGTTTTAACTGGTGGGGTTTTGTCCTACATTCTTAAAAAAACCAAATAGCTAGAGCTTAGATATGAAGCATGAAACATCTTCTAGTGGGCGTCTACCAAGTTTGTTCAAATAAAAGCCCTGGAGTAAAAATTGGCCCCGCCCCAGGGGGTCATTGTTTTTCCCTTTATCATAAAAAATCTTCTTTTAAAAACCCCAAAGAGCTATAGCTAAGATATTCAACATGAAACATCTAGTAATGGGTGTCTACCAAGTTTCTTCAAATAAGGGCCCTGGGGGTTAAAATTGGCCCCGCCCCAGGGGTCATTGATTTTCCATAACTGTGTATAGTAAAAACTTAAAAAATCTTCTTACAAAAAACCCAAAGATACTAAGCATGAAATATCTTCTAGTGAGTGTCTACCAAGTTTATTAAAATAAAAGCCCTAGGGTCAAAACTGGCGCCTCCCAGGGGGGTCATTGTTTTTCTCTTTATGTATATAGTAAAAGCTTAAAAAAATCTTTTTTTACAAACCCCAAAGAGCTGGAGCTTAGATATTTATCATGATACAAAGGGGTAATACTTTTATCAGGCCCTTTGTGTTTTTTTTTTTACTTTATTTTTTTCTACACATAATTATAGATATTATTTCTATGCTTTAAATTATTCACGAGAATGCTACAGCATATATAATAAATTACAATTCAATTCAATTAAACAATTCAAACAAAGCCTGAAACCTCTGTGGTACTCTAAGTCTTGCTGGCGGTGGCGTGTTCGTCTCAAGTGCCAAGAGAGAACCACAATATGTTATTACCACGGAGAAATGGATGGTGAGGTTTTCACCAAGTGGCTTAATCAAAAGCTAATCCCAAATCTTCCAGCACACACTGTCGTGGTAAGAGACAACGCACCTTATAGGGGCCTAACACTTTTTGCGATGACCAACGAAATCAAGTACAAAAAATGTGATGACGTCCTTCTAACAGCGCCACAACATACACTCCTCAACCAAACAGCTCAGGACTCGTGTGCTCGCAATAAATAGATGATTTTTGTTGCAAGCTGAATACCTGTGCATTGATATTAAATATTATTTTAAAAAAAAATGGAAATGATAGGATTCGAACCAGCACCTGTATAGTTGATAGACCAGTACGCTACCACTACACTACAATCACGGTGCATATCCATATCGGTACCCTCTTTGCGAAATCTGCAGAAACGGTACGTACCCTCTTTGCACATGCACAGGCCACTCTGCTAAAAACAAACCAGCGATGGATATACAATACAGTAAAATTTCAATATAATAAGGAAAGAAGGTATGACACGTAGAAAAGATGTATACCACGAAACACTAGAATGTTTTATCTACGTGCTGATTTGTCATGTTCCCGTTTTTCATGTACTACAAATTCACAATAAGCTACAAAAAATCGACATGTCTTGCTTCGCCCATCACCTCGACATATTTTTTGGGCTGAAATGAACCTGTGGCTTGATTATATATGCATCATACATATTTGGTATGTTCATTTACATATTATCTTCGGACAAATGGCAGTACATTGTCAAAAATAATTGTAAAATTCATAAAAACACCCTACTTTCAGTTTTGTAGCGGCACGGGCTACGTATACCTCTCTTCATTTGAATTTTTATATCACAGGTACCCTCTCATTTTTTTACACAGGTACCCTCAAGGCACGACATATGCTTTTTTAATTATTTGCGTTAATCGTTAGGTATGTAATATTTTTTTATTTATGTAAATGAATGTAATCAGTTCCTTGCGAAAGTGAAGGCAACTAATACTGGTAAAGTGATTGACAGCCTGCCCAGGAACGGTGCGGTGTCTGAAATGTACTAGCTGCTCTGGTAAATTCGCTTCCAGTCGTGATCCGGAGTGAAAACTACCAACAACAGAGCAGAATTCAGAAAATTTTGACAGGGGGCTTAATTTGGATTTAGGACTAAACTCCTACCCTTTAAGGGGCATCTGGGGGTGACACCGCCATAAAGTATCCATTTATAAACGTGTCGATAAATCATTCTCATCCCCTGTACATTTCTTAGGTCAATATTGCCAATAACGTATTTTCCCGCGCTTTACCGGGCTATGATCATGTTTTTAAAAGGTCCAAGACGCGCACGGGAACACTCACCAGATTACATGTTACATTTGTTCGTTTATAAAAGAAAAAAATCCGTATTTCTATAGTTAGTAACAAAAATGTGTACAAGTAGTGACATCTTTCTGATGCAAAACTTACTTAATTGTAAATAAAATAATTACATTAGTTTTCTTCCTATTTTCTCGCATTTCACAACAGGTATGTAAAACAAAAGAAAAACTACATGGATGAGCTGTGGACTGTACCACCCGCTGAATGATAGTTGTTTTCATTCATACTCACCCTATACTTGCAATATGAAGGTAATGTGAATGCAGTTACTGACACATCAAAACTTTTTTAAGTGACCACGTACAGAGCGTCGGAGAATTATACTAAAATTTGTTTATATATAGGCACATTACAGTCATTAAAGGGAAGTTAAATCAGAATTATTTAGCGACGACGTGAATGATAGTTGTTTTCATTCATACTCATCCTATACTTGCAATATGAATGCAGTTAATATTTAATCTAAAATTAATAACCTAGAACGACGTACATAATTATAAAAAATGGCAATATTTCCATACTTAAAGCCGACGTAATAAAAATTTCTTGGTAAAATTAATGTCATATATGTAAAACAGTTTTGTGTCAGTCAGTTGATAAAATAAGATTAAATTGGTCTGTTCTGTTTCAACTAATATTTATCCTCCAGTCTTTTACAAGTCGGAAGAGACTGACTGAACAACGAACATAGGGGAAATTCAATAACTGATCGAGGCAGTTTCCCGGTTACTGACTCTATCAAAACTTTTAAGTGACCATGCACGTACAGATCGAGCGTCTTGAACATCCTGTGGAGAATTATAGGAAAATTTGTTTATAGGCACATTACAGTCATTAAAGGGAAGTTAAATCAGAATTATTTGGCGACGACGTTCTACTGAAAAAAGTCATTCAAAAGGTCAGATTTTAATTCTGTTGATGCCTTAAACCAGAGATGTGTTATCTTTGTCTCTTCTAAAACGTACATTACTTTTAAGATTTTTTAAACAAGTGCATACATTATGCTCATATGACAATAAAATTATTTTAAGCAACAAGTCAAAACAAATTTTCCAAGAAGTTGAAACAATTTGATTTTTTGGCTAGCTCATTTTGGCCCCGGTGAAAGGGTGATTTCAAAATGTTAGATACATTTATTTCATTATTGATGTAAAATGAACCAATTAATGTATGAAAGAATCGATGAATGAATGAATACTTGACAGTACAGGTTTGACTAAGATGATAGACATTACTCCTTGTGTAAAAACAGATATTTTGACTGGTACTGATCGAATAATCAGTTTGCAAATTAGAATCTACCTCTTCTTAAATTAATGAATAAGTATTTACGTTGACATCTAAAACTATATAGAGGATAGGCTCATTCAAGTTTTTTTCTATAAATACAGGATATATTTTCATCGAGTGGTATGAAAATAAATATTTCATGAGTGGCGGTTGCCACGAGTGAAATATTATAATTTTCATACCACAAGATAAAAATAAATCCTGCAATGTAGGCCTATTTATAATAAAAACTTGAATTTTCTGTTTATTATAGATAATAGAGGCTGAGCCATATATACATTTTTCTTTTTTTTTACATAACGATTTGACAGATTTCGACTTGATTTCCTATTGGCTGAATTAAAAAAAGTAGTCCGGCAAGACACCAGTGAAAATACGGAAATATGTTTCACTGCGAAAAAAATAAATTTTGTACAGTGAAAAAAAACGGAAAATGAAATTATCCATTTTATTTCATCAATATTTCATTTATAAGTATATAATAAAATAGAACGCATCACCTAAAATACAATTATTTTGACATAGATGGCAATATATCAAAATACGATCCAAATTTGTATTTATGTTTGGTGAATACAGTATGGTACGAACCGATCGTGAAGCGAATCTTCATAATATCTGTTTAACCAATCAAATTCCTAAATTAAATTCACATCCAAGATGGAGACTACCGAGGGTTCGCAAGGACATTTTCAGGACTATCAACAAGTTTTATCAACTTTGGAAGCATTGAATGGACAGAGATCATCATCAAAGCTGTGCGATGTAATTTTGCAAGTATCAGATGAAAAAATATTTGCCCACTCTAATGTTCTAGCAGCAGCAAGCCCATATTTTGATTCGGTGTTCAGTGGTCAGGATCTCCCGAGGGCTTTTTCACAAAAAACTCCACAAATCATAGAAATTCACATTGATGGACCCTCGGACCCAGGCTATACAGAAGCATTACATAAAGTGGTGGACTTTATGTATACAAGTCGTATACAGCTAGACAGCAATGTACTTGTGCAAGTGCTTGAAATAGCTAGGATCATGCAGATGTCTAGAATTATAGGTAATAACATTAACAGTTACAGTGTGTCTGGTTACCATAACAGTATGTGTTTCTTTGCCTACAATATAAAATGGCTGGGGCGTTTAGTGTTACCCTGTTCCGCCTTTCCATCATCATCTGCACTATCATCTCAAATTTGATTCAGAGTCAACTCGTCCTCTGGTCAACTCGTCCTCTGGTCAACTCGTCACCTTTTTGGTCAACTCGTCCCCTGGACAACTCGTCCTCTAGTCAACTCGTCCCCAACTCGTCCCTTATATTTTATTACTACTTGTTTTTCATATAGTTCATAAATCATTATAGACTGTTAAAATAATATATTATAAAATTACTGAATTGGACATATTTTGACGCTTTTTGTATGCGAATATTTGGAGTTTCATCTTATAATAAGGATATATATGCATAATTCTGATTAAATTACATACAGAAAAAAAAAACACGAAGACGATCAATAGCAATAACATTTAATGTATAAAAACATGTTTTATATGCAAAGATAAAATATCATATAGTATGTCTTTTTTGTCAATATTATGCCAGACATGTATATATTCAGCTTTGGCTGAGGGCACGCTGCCATGGTTGTGATCCTTTCCACCAGGGAAATCAGGAACTGAAAAGGAATAAAAATCGTTACTTCCTTTTGTACAGAGAATCAGTGTCTGCAAAATTATACATTATTAACTAGCCAATGTTATGGTCATTTCTGTTCTGTAAAGAACATTTTAATGTTAATTCTGAGGTCTTCATTTAAATATAATTTGACTTACGACTCTAGGACGTCATCCCGTTCGTAGTAGGAGTTGTCAGCTAGGATAGACCTTGAACAATCAGCAGCAGATTCATTACCATACTCAGACATAGAGACATCGTAGTTCTCACTAGAAAATGTTGTGTTGACTGATGAACTGACCACATAACCCGTCTCGTTGCATGATTCGTCGGACTGGTGTGAGTTATCCGCACAAAACTGAAGAGATTCATCGACAGGCTCTTCTCTAGCAATGGCACTACATGGCTGACAAATGAACGCAATCTCCCGGTCACCTCTCACAGCTGACCTATAGTCATTTGATAATAGGATTAACGACACAAATACCTCTGTGGTTGGATACGTTTTTATATATTTAAAGAACGCGTGTCTTTAATTTGAAATTATACAAATCGCGTGAAAATCGTGCCAAAGGTTGTTATAAAAATTTATTTTCCAAATGTCGAATTTGTTTTGATGGTGTATGGTCAAATATATGAAAATGTTGATTAAATACAATTAATACATTCAATATGTTGAATTGTATTATACAAGAAATTCTGGAACTCGGTTTTATACAGCTCCTCTTTGAGATCAGTTTAAAGATTTATTTATGGAAATTGAATATTAATCTTTACTAATTATTAGATGGCAATTGAATACTTGGTAATTACTTTTATGTCTTCAATCATGTTTTCAATCAGTTAATATCCACTGCAAATATTATTGTACGGATTTTTTATTTAAAAAAAAATAATGAAAAAAAAATAAATAAATTCTAACTCTTTCAAAAGGCATGTATGTATATACAACTCCTATGATAATAATGGACCATAATATTACAATAAAATGCAATTTAAAAAAAAAAATAAAACTTATTAAATTCATTAAATATTCTTTGACAATTTTTATTCCAATACACTATATAAGATCATTTGGAATTGCAAGACCATTTGTCTGTTAAAAATGAACATAAACATCACAAATGACTAACCTAAGTCACAATCAACAACACAAATAATTAAAATTGTCACATATACACCGTTCACATGCAGTCTATAATCCAACAATATGGAATTCTAAGAAATGATTAATATGCACTATAAAAAATAATCCAATGTTCATATAACGTACAACGCAAATTATGTGTTTTTAAGAATAAATCTTATATTTATCTGGGCAACTTTTATATTGACAATTTCCCAACAAACAATTATCATGTTTTTAATTGACACGATCCTTCTTTAATGAGATCAATACGCACCGACATAAAAATTTTAGCGCTTCTAATTTCTGTTAATCTGTCGTCAGTCTTTAATCCATTCAGGGAGGCGGTAAAAATCAAAGAGTTGGACCTAATTTTAGTTTTAATTATCATTAAAACTCCGATTAATTAAACATTAATTGAATGTTTGTAAACTTACCTGTCTTTGTAGTTTGACATCAAAGCTATGCACGTGCGCTTAGATAAAGATCATTAAAATTTAACGTAAAAAAGACGTTATTATTTTATTAATATTTCGATATCAATCAAATTCAGTATTAATTTTACATATTTTACATAAAAGAATTATTTAAAGACATTTTAAAGACAGAGATCGAAAGTAGGGGACGAGTTGACCATATTAGGGACGAGTTGACCAAAAGTAGGGGACGAGTTGACCAAAAAGGTGTCGAGTTGACCAGAGGACGAGTTGACCAGGGGACGAGTTGACCGGATTGCCTCAAATTTGATATATATATGTGTAGGTCAAGTTAGAATTTAGTCATGGTACGATGAATTTGACAGAGTTATGCCCCTTATAGAAATTTTCGAATCCGGGTCAGCTCGGCCCTAAAACGTACTCAGCCCCCGATTCAGCTCGGCCCTATTCCAACTCGGCACGGGTCAACTCGGCCCACTTTTTCAATTATTAATATTTAGGTTTGTGTTAACATTTATTGTAATTATTGTAATTATTTATAATACACGATTGACAGTTTCCGAACTAGCAGCAGACAGGCTTTTCTTATCAGTAGAATTGCGAGTAAAGATCACCGATCTCACTGTATTTCTGACTCGCGGTAGTTTTGATTCAGAGTCAACTCGTCCTCTGGTCAACTCGTCCTCTGGTCAACTCGTCACCTTTTTGGTCAACTCGTCCCTTGGACAACTCGTCCCCTGGTCAACTCGGCCCCAACTCGTCCCCTATATTCTATTAATATTTGTTTTTCATATATTTCATAAATTATTATAGACTGTTAAAATAATATATTATAAAATTACTGAATTGGACATATTTTGACGCTTTTTGTATGCGAATATTTGGAGTTTTTTTTATTTAATAATAAGTATATATATGCATAATTCTGATTGAATTACATACAGAAAAAAAAACACGAAGACGATCAATAGCAATAACATTTAATGTATAAAAACATGTTTCATATGCAATGATAAAATATACTCGTAATTTATACATTCAATATATTGACTTGTATTATACATACACCGTTCACATGCGGTCTATAATCCAACAATATGGAATTGTTGTGCTTGTGGTATTTTTAGTTTCAACTTTTCGGCATTTTCTTTATGGGTGGTTCCAATATTCCTACTTGAATAATGTTGAATCACCCTTAGGATATGTTAGTATCTGTGATACGCAGGCTTCATAACCTCTGATCCCCTTTCAATATTCCATTTTATTTAGTTCTGCCCATTGTTTTCTCGTTTAGGGCACACGCTTTTTATTACTTGGGGACCATATGCCGCTTTTCAAGTGTCACATTGAAGGTTCCATGATAACCGCCGTATGAACACATCTGCTGATGTTTCTAAATTCAAAATTTTACTGTTTCACGTTTAAATGTTGAAGAAAAGGCAAAACGAATATTGAGCTGATATGTTGTGATGAATGTGTAGCCAGCTTCACATCCCAGGTCGACATTCCAAGCAGAGACAAAACGAAGGACGAGTTGGATGTTGTGCTTAATAGTCAGCTTCACAACCCAGCTCGACATTTAAAGAGAAACGAAACACGAATGTTTAATTGACACGGTCCTTCTATAATGAGATCAATACGCACCGACATAAAGTTTTTAGCACTTCTAATTTCTTTTAATCTGTCGTCAGTCTTTAATCCATTAAGTGAGGCGGTAAAAATCAAAGAGTTGGACCTAATTTTAGTTTTAATTATCATTAAAACTCCGATGAATTAAACATTAACTGAATGTTTGCAAACTTACCTGGTTAGTTTGACATCAATGCTATGCACGTGCGCTTAGATAAAGATCATTAAAATTTAACGTAAAAAAGACGTTATTTTATTAATATTTCGATATCAATCAAATTCATTATTAATTTTACATAAAAGAAATATTTAAAGACATTGCTTTACAACATAAAAGTGACGAATAGATCGAAAGTAGGGGACGAGTTGATCATATTAGGGACGAGTTGACCAAAAATAGGGGACGAGTTGACCAAAAAGGTGACGAGTTGACCAGAGGACGAGTTGACCAGGGGACGAGTTGACCGGATTGCGTAGTTTTAACCGTAAATTTAAATACCTATTATTATCAATCAGTGTGTATGTTAAGGATATCGATTAATTATGTGATAATTATGATTGACGCATTCATTCAAATTTGATTAGTGACCGCTTATGATATTAAGTAAACACGTTTTTGTTTCATTTTTTTTGAAAATTACTTTACAAACAAAATGCATCTAAGGAAACACATTTTTGTGTCGTCTCTACGAAGTAGTGGTGACATATAGGGATCACTTCTCCGTCGTCTGTCCGTCACAAAACTTGTCCGGACTACTCCTCATAAACTACTGGTGCAATTTCATCCAAACTTTACAGGAATGATCAGTACCAAATCTAGTTGTGCATATTGTCAGCATTTTCCGGGTCAATGATTTTTGTCAGAGTTATGGCCCTTTAATAATTTTTATTTTTAAAGTTTGTCCGGACTACTTCTCTTATACCACTAATGCTTTCTATGAAACATTACAGGATTGATCTGTAGCTCAAGTCCTTGCGCATATTGCATGGGTTTTCCGGTTGAATGATTTTTGGCTGAGTTATGGCCCTTTGTTAAAAAGATGTTTTTTTTCTGTGTGTTGCCAGATACACAAAAGCTTGTCCGGACTACTCCTCATAAACTACTGGTGCAATTTCATCCAAACTTTACAGGAATGATCAGTACCAAGTCTCAGTGTGCACTGTCCATCTGTCTGTCCGTCTGTCACAAAACTTGTCCCAACATGAAATTGGCTATCATGAGGCGACACATGTGATTACTGATCGCTCTTGTTAGTAGATCTATATTAATTTTATTGAATCTGCAAGACAAATAAATAACTTTTTTTTCTAAATATACTTTATTTCGGCAGAAGTACAATGTATTTAATTATATGATAATAAGATATTTCTTATTATTCATTCACCTTAACAACATGCAAAGCAAAGTTAATACGTTATATATATTTTTGTAAAGTGGGCCGAGTTGACCCGTGCAGAGTTGGTATAGGGCTGAGTTCAGTCTGTTGACTCTTTCCAAATTTTCAGTTTCTGTTCATTATCCAACAGTTCAACTGAAATATAGCATATGGATATGTCATAGGAATACACAGGTCAAGTTCTAATTTGGTCTTGGTTTGATGATTTTTGATAGAGTAATCTCTCTTGAACTTTGGAAAAAAAGAAATTTTCATTTTACAGGTTACATTTGAATTTGGTCATCGTTCGATGATTTTGACAGAGTTATCCCTTTTGAACGTTGGAAAAAATTTGAAATATTCAGGTTCCGTCAGGGCCTTTTCACTAGTTTTGGGGAAGGCGCCCAAGCCCTTTTTGTGGGGAAAAAATGTGCGGTTTTAATACTTTTGGGGGAAAAAATCACATTTTCCACTGGCAGTTTAACCATTATTACTATAAAGAAAGACTTATTTAAATCATACATTTGGGGGAAATATCATAATACGGTATATTTGCATATTTCCCCCCAAACACACTTATTTTAGGAGCTTTCTGTCCAACATAAGTTACAGGGATTTTTTTACAGATCAATTTATTGCCACTTTTTATTTGCCTAAGAATACAATCATTAACTCATATTTCCTAATTATAGAAAATTTACGCATGACATGTGAGGGTTCTTGATTTGAGGTATCCCTCTAGTGGGTAATTGAATAATAAGCTTTCATTGGACAAAAACAATGATCTATTTTTAAACAAGAAAGTTTGTTTACAAGTTTTTTTCTTCGATTTAACATTTCTCTGAAAGGGAAAATCTTTGCAAGAAGGGGAATTTTTGACTGTTTTTTGGGGAAAAAAGGTAGTAAGTTGGCTTGGGGAAGTAGCCGAATACCGGCTACAGTAAAGAAGGGTAAAAAGGCCCTGTCCATACTCTTACTTTTGAGTTTTGTAGAAATGTATGTATACGGTTGAAATCGCATACATGTGCAGGTTTTTAACCAGAAAATACAAGTTGATTTGGTAACTCGACAGAGTTATCATTCTTGAACTTAAAAAAGAAAAAGAAGAAATTTTTAGTTTCTGCTCTAACTTCTAACTTTTATGGGAATTATGTCAGATGTTTACATTGCATATGCTAGTATTTTACCAGAAAATACAAGTCAAGTTCTAATTTGGTCATGGTCAGATCTATGTTTTTGACAGTTATTATTTTTATACTTAATTGTATCCCCCTTGAACTTGGCAAAGATTTAAAAATTCACAATTTCTAATCATTATCTCGGCTACAAATATGCAAAAGGTTAACACTGAATAGTTTCGGGCCTTGAACTTTGTTTAAAAATGGTTTGTGTTAACATTGAATTTTTTAAGGGCCTTGAAAACTTAAAATGAAAGAAATGGTTTGTGCTATCAAATTCAGGAATTTTTTTTGGGCT